GCCAATAGGAGAACAGAGTAATCAATCAGCACAACACCCAAACTTATGATGTGCTGTTGGATATTTATTCTCGTTTCACTATTTAAACTCTGGAAGATATGACGTTAAATAAATGAACACTGTCCATAGAGCATTTTCAGTATTATCGCAACCTGAACAATGAAAAGGAGAATAAATATCCAACAGCAAAACATAAGTTGGGGTGTTGTGCTGACTGATTCCTCTGTTTTCCTATTGGCTGTAATTTGATGACGTTCCCTCTTATTCCACCAATCACAGTTAAGTAAGATATTACTGGAAGAATGCAATATGTACGACATCACTATTTAAACTCTGGAAGATATGACGTTAAATAAATAAACACTGTCCATAGAGCATTTTCAGTATTATCGCAACTTGAACAATGAAAAGGAAAATAAATATCCAACAGCAAAACATAAGTTGGGGTGTTGTGCTGACTGATTCCTCTGTTTTCCTATTGGCTGTAATTTGATGACGTTCCCTCTTATTCCACCAATCACAGTTAAGTTAGATATTACTGGAAGAATGCAATATGTACGACATCACTATCCATTGTTTTGGGGCACCGCCTCCCTTAGGAGGACAACTTGTGAGCCACAGGCCTTGGCAGGGTCCCTGGGAGCAGTGGCGCCCCATAAAGAGGCCTGGGGGGAGCCACCGCTTCTGGAAGGGCCCCTGAAGGCGCCACCGCCGCTGACAGGGCCGCTGGAAGCACCACGGTCCCTAGGAACGTACCTGGAGGAGCCCTCGTCCCGGGAAAGGCCCCAGGGATCATGGCTGTCCCTGTGAGGGCCCCTAACGTCACCAGTGCCCCTAGGAGATCCCATGGGGGCGCCGCTGTCCCTGTGAGGGTCCCTAGGAGCGTTTCCGTCCCTGCGAGGGTCCCTTGGAGCGTTGCCTTCCCTGAGAGTCCCATGGAAGCTCGGCTGTTCCTGGAGGAGCCCCTGTGGACGCCGCCTTCCCTGAGAAGGCCCCTAGGATTGCAGTTGTCCCTAAGAGTGCCCCTGGTGGATCCAGCGCCCCTGACACGTCCCCTGGGGGCACCGCCGTCCCTGAGAGGGCCCTGGGGTCGCCTTCGTGAGTTGCATGGCCAGGTGACCCTCACAGGGATAGCGGCGATCCCAGGGTCCCTTACAGGGACGGGGGCGCCTTCAGGGATGTTCCCAGGGACGGCGGGGCCCGCAGGGGCCATACCACAGCGGTGGCGCATTCAGGGGCCCTTCCAGAGGCGGTGTCTTCCCCAGGGTCCCTCTCTGGGGCGTCTCTGCTCCCAAGGAACCTGCCAGGGGTTGAGGCGACCCTATGGGCCCTCCTAGGGCCGGTGGCGCTGGTATGGGCCCTCCTAGTGGCAGTGGGTGCCTTTCCAGGGGCGGCAGGGTCTCTGCCAGGGGCGACGGCGCCTCCAGGGGCCCTTTCACATGCAGCAAAGCCCCAAGAACTTCATAGGTTTGTCGTACATTTTGCATTCGTCCAGTAATCCCTTACTTAACTGTGATTGGTGGAGCAAGATGTAACGTCATCAAATTACAGCCAATAGGAGAACAGAGCAATCAATCAGCACAACACCCCAACTTATGATGTGCTGTTGGATATTTATTCTCGTTTCACTATTTAAACTCTGGAAGATATGACGTTAAATAAATAAACACTGTCCATAGAGCATTTTCAGTATTATCACAACCTGAACAATGAAAAGGAGAATAAATATCCAACAGCAAAACATAAGTTGGGGTGTTGTGCTGACTGATTCCTCTGATTTCCTATTGGCTGTAATTTGATGACGTTCCCTCTTATTCCACCAATCACAGTTAAGTAAGATATTACTGGAAGAATGCAATATGTACGACATCACTATCCATTGTTTTGGGGCACCGCCTCCCCTAGGAGGGCAACTTGTGAGCCACAGGCCTTGGCAGGGTCCCTGGGAGCAGTGGCGCCCCATAAAGAGGCCTGGGGGGAGCCACCGCTTCTGGAAGGGCTCCTGAAGGCGCCACCGCCGCTGACAGGGCCGCTGGAAGCACCACGGTCCCTAGGAACGTACCTAGAGGAGCCCTTGTCCCGGGAAAGGCCCCAGGGATCATGGCTGTCCCTGTGAGGGCCCCTAACGTCACCAGTGCCCCTAGGAGATCCCATGGGGGCGGCGCTGTCCCTCTGAGGGTCCCTAGGAGCGTTTCCGTCCCTGCGAGGGTCCCTTGGAGCGTTGCCTTCCCTGAGAGTCCCATGGAAGCTCGGCTATTCCCGGAGGAGCCCCTGTGGACGCCGCCTTCCCTGAGAAGGCCCCTAGGATTGCAGTTGTCCCTAAGAGTGCCTCTGGTGGATCCATCGCCCCTGACACGTCCCCTGGGGGCACCGCCGTCCCTGAGAGGGCCCTGGGGTCGCCTTCGTGAGTTGCATGGCCAAGTGACCCTCACAGGGATAGCGGCGATCCCAGGGTCCCTTACAGGTACGAAGGCGCCTTCAGGGGTGTTCCCAGGGACGGCGGCGCCCCCAGAGGCCATACCACAGCGGTGGCGCATTCAGGGGCCCTTCCAGAGGCGGTGTCTCCCCCAGGGTCCCTCTATGGGGCGTCTATACTCCCAAGGAACCTGCCAGGGGTTGCGGCGCCCCTATGGGCCCTCCTAGGGCCGGCGGCGTTGGTATGGGCCCTCCTAGTGGCAGTGGGTGCCTTTCCAGGGGCGGCAGGGTCTCTGCCAGGGGCGACGGCGCCTCCAGGGGCCCTTTCACATGCAGCAAAGCCCCAAGAACTTCATAGGTTTGTCGTACATTTTGCATTCGTCCAGTAATCCCTTACTTAACTGTGATTGGTGGAGCAAGATGTAACGTCATCAAATTACAGCCAATAGGAGAACAGAGTAATCAATCAGCACAACACCCAAACTTATGATGTGCTGTTGGATATTTATTCTCGTTTCAGTATTTAAACTCTGGAAGATATGACGTTAAATAAATAAACACTGTCCATAGAGCATTTTCAGTATTATCGCAACCTGAACAATGAAAAGGAGAATAAATATCCAACAGCAAAACATAAGTTGGGGTGTTGTGCTGACTGATTCCTCTGTTTTCCTATTGGCTGTAATTTGATGACGTTCCCTCTTATTTCACCAATCACAGTTAAGTAAGATATTACTGGAAGAATGCAATATGTACGACATCACTCTCCATTGTTTTGGGGCACCGCCTCCCCTAGGAGGACAACCTGTGAGCCACAGGCCTTGGCAGGGTCCCTGGGAGCAGTGGCGCCCTATAAAGTGGCCTGGGGGGAGCCACCGCTTCTGGAAGGGCCCCTGAAGGAGTCACCACCGCTGGCATGGCCGCTGGGAGCACCATGGTCCCTAGGAACGTACCTGGAGGTGCCCTTGTCCCGGGAAAGGCCCCAAGGATCATGGCTGTCCCTGTGAGGGCCCCTAGGGTTGCCAGCGCCCCTAGCAGGGCCCATGGGGGCGCCGCCGTCCCTGTGAGGGTCCTTAGGAGCGTTGCCGTCCCTACGAGGGTCCCTTGGAGCGTTGCCATCCCCGAGAGGCCCATGGAAGCTCGGCGGTTCCTGGAGGAGCCCCTGTGGACGCCGCCTTCCCTGAGAAGGCCCCTAGGATTGCAGTTGTCCCTAAGAGTGCCCCTGGGGTATCAAGCGCCCTTGACACGTCCCCTGGGGGCACCGCCGTCCCTGAGAGGGCCCTGGGGTTGCCTTCGTGACTTGCATGGCCAAGTGACCCTCACAGGGATACCGGCGATCCCAGGGTCCCTTACAGGGACGGGAGCGCCTTCAGGGGTGTTCCCAGGGACGGCGGGGCCCCCAGGAGCCATACCACAGCGGTGGCGCATTCAGGGGCCCTTCCAGAGGCGGTGTCTTCCCCATGGCCCCTCTATGGGGCGTCTCTGCTCCCAAGGAAAATGCCAGGGGCTACGGCGCCCCAATGGGCCCTCCTAGGGCCGGCGGAGCTGGTATGGGCCCCCCTAGTGGCAATGGGTGCCTTTCCAGGGGCGGCAGGGTCTCTGCCAGGGGCGACGGCGCCCCCAGAGGCCCTTTCACATGCAGCAAAGCCCCAAGAACTTCAAAGGTTTGTCGTACATTTTGCATTCGTCCAGTAATCCCTTACTTAACTGTGATTGGTGGAGCAAGATGTAACGTCATCAAATTACAGCCAATAGGAGAACAGAGCAATCAATCAGCACAACACCCAAACTTATGATGTGCTGTTGGATATTTATTCTCGTTTCACTATTTAAACTCTGGAAGATATGACGTTAAATAAATAAACACTGTCTGTCCATAGAGCATTTTCAGTATTATCGCAACCTGAACAATGAAAAGGAGAATAAATATCCAACAGCAAAACATAAGTTGGGGTGTTGTGCTGACTGATTCCTCTGTTTTCCTATTGGCTGTAATTTGATGACGTTCCCTCTTATTCCACCAATCACAGTTAAGTAAGATATTACTGGAAGAATGCAATATGTACGACATCACTATCCATTGTTTTGGGGCACCGCCTCCCCTAGGAGGACAACTTGTGAGCCACAGGCCTTGGCAGGGTCCCTGGGAGCAGTGGCGCCCCATGCAGAGAGGGTCTCTGGCGTCCCCAGCACCCCATGGGAGGGTCGCAGGGGCCTTGTCGATCCTGGGAGGATCCCAGGAGACCTAGCCATTCCTGGGAAGGTTTCAGGGGCTTCCGTTGCCTCTATAAGCGGCTCAGGGGTCCCCGTTGCTTCTTGGAATGTCCCGGGTTCCCCTGTCGCCCCTGGGAGTGTCCCCGCTGCACTTGGAAAGGTCCCAGGGGCCCTCGTCGCTTCTGGGAGGGTTCCTGGGGCCATCGACGCCACTGAGAGGATCCTCACCACGCCTGGGTTGGTCTCAGGGGCCCCCACTCAGCAACTGAAAGGATCCTCACCGCACCTGGAATGGTCCCAGGGGCCCCCACTGCCCCTACAAGGGTCCCTGGGGCTCCAGTAGCCCCTGGGAGGAGTTGTAGGGGCCCCACCTACCCGGGGATAGTCCCAGGAGCCCCCGCCGCACCTGGGAAGGTCTCAGGAACCCCCGTCGCGTCTATAAGCATCCCAGGGACCCCTGCTGCTTGTAGGTGTGTCCCTGGGGCTCCTTGCCACACCTGGGAGTGTCCCTGCCACAGCTGGGAGGGTCCCTGGGGCCAATTGTTTTTGTGCTAATTAGAGCTCTGGTAGATGCGACTCCAACGTCCATCATAACATTTCCTGTATTATCGCTTCCTTAAGACCGGAATTGAGAATGATATCCAGCAGGAAAACATTAGTTGGGGTGTTGTGCTGACTGACTGTTCTCTTCTCCTATTGGCTGTAATTTGGTGGATATACATTTTAGTCCACCAATCTCATTTAAGTAAGGAATTGATGGACGTATGTAATATGTATGACACCTCGACCAAGTATGCTATAGTGCCCCTGGAAGTACGGCCCCTGGAGTGTCCCGAGGACCTGCACCATCCTTGAGAGGGTCGCACAGGCCCCAGTCGCCCCTGGGAGGTTCCATGGGGTCCCCTCTGCCATTGGGCCCCTGTCGTTCCTGGAAGAGTCAAGGGGAAACCACTTTCCCTGGGAGGTTCCCTGGGGGCACCGCCACACCTGCAAAACTACCAGGGGCCTCCAACCCCCTCTGGGAGTGTCCCAAGTACACCCGCCACCCCTGGAAGGGTCCCAGGGGCCCCCACCGCACCTGGGAAGGTTCCCGCCACACCTGGGAGTGTCCCAGAAGCCAGTGCCACACATGGGAAGATCCCAGGGGCTCCCGCTGTATCTGGGAGGTCCCCGCCGCCCCTGGGTGGGTTTCAGGGGCCCACGCCACCCATTGAAGGATTCCAGGGGCCCCCACCGCCCCTGATGCCACTGTGAGGGTTACAGCGGCGCCCGTCGCCCCTGGGAGGGCCACAGGGGACCCTGTCGCGTCTGGGATGGCTCTTGGGGCCCTCGGTGCCCCTGAGAGGGACCTCACTGCAGCTGGGTGGGTCCCAGGTATCTCTGCCGTCCCTGTGAGGGTCCCTGGGGTCCCCAGTCGCCCCTGGGAGGATCGTAGGGACCCCACCGACCTTGGGAGGATCCCAGGAGCCCCTGCCGTGCCTGGGAAGGCCCCAGGGACCCCAGCCGCTTCTCTGAGGTTTCCTGTCGCACCTGGGCGGGTCCCTGGTGGCAGTTGTTTTTGTGCTATTTAGAACGCTGGTACATGGGACTACAACGCCCATCATAACATTTCCAGTATTATCGCTTCCTTAAAAGTGGAATGGAGAATAATATCCACCGGGAAAACATAAGTTGGAGTGTTGTGCTGACTGACTGTTCTCTTCTCATTGGCTGTAATTTGGTGGATATACATTTTAGTCCACCAATCACATTAAAGGAAGTAATTGAGGTTACCATGGGATGTGTAGGCCTGTGGCTTGTAGGCCTGTGAGGAGTGAGACTTGTCAGTATACAGTCTCACTAAGTATTAATTTGCTTGTAGTTATTTACAGTCCCGTTGATATCAGTAGGATCCCTGAGACCGCCGATAATTATGGTCCAACAGAGCAGTCACTTCTTCCACAAAAGGGGGGATAATCAGAGTCAAAACTGGTGTATTTGTACAGTGTGATGTTTACAAGTCTAAATACTATACAGTTAATGAGACTGGCCCCGTGATCTAGTACTGGGAGCGTTCACGTGGGTCGCATTAGAAACTGAGGTAGGCTCTGTGTTAGGTGTGCCCGTATTGAAGTAGCCCAGGAGTAGATCTTTACTCAAAGGGGTCCAGTTCCAGACTGACATAAGGGCTTGGCTATGACACGCCCGTAGAGAGTAATTCCTGCACTCGCCACCAGAGCAATCTATGAGTCAAGCTTCTAGAAGGTTCTCGAAGGAGGAAGTAGTCAACTCCGTGGAAAATCAAGCAAAACTATAGTCAGCGGTGTTTACATAA